TGTTCTTGGTCTAACTCGTGCTCTACGTCCTTCTTCTCTTTCCATGTATGCTTTGTATGATATGGTGTCACAAGGCATTCTTTCTAAGTGGGCAAACCATTTCACTTGCTGTCTTCGTATGTAATCCAGAATTGGTTCTGTGCCGACTTTTTCTCTTATGATCTCATTCCTGATCTTATCTCTTATGGTCACTCCTACAGCCCTTCTCAGACATCTCATTTCCGTGGTTACTAATTTTCTTTTATGGTTTGTTGTGAGTGACCATGTCTGGCACTGGTAGCACAGAGTTGGAATAAATATGCTTTGAATAAGATGTCTCTTTGTGCTGATTGGGATTGTCTTATGCTGTAAGTGGGGAGCTAGCTGTCCCAATACTTGGTTTGCTTTACTGCATCTAATGTTAATTTCTTTATCCAATTTCCCATCTTCGGTAAATGTAGTTCCCAGATATTTAAACTCAGATGCCTATTTAATGCCTTTGCACTCTATTGCTATGTTTAGATCTGTCTTCTTTTTTTAAAAGTAAGACTTAAAGTATGGACTTGAATATTTCGGCAGAATTTCAAGCTGGTTAAAAAAAAAATGGCTTTCCTGCAATAGAACTGCTTCACAATGATCAGGAATAACTGATGATCAGTTATCAGGATTGCACAGCAGTTCCATGAAGGTATGCAGGCCAGAGTGCTGGAGAAGAGAAAATTGTCGGACTCTTTCTCTGTCTCAAATGTCGTAAAGCAGGGAGTGTGCTTGCGCCAACTTTGTTTAGTATGACGTTTGATGCAATGCTTGTCAGTGCCTTTGACTATGACGATCTAGGAACTACTTTAAATTACCGCACATATGGCAAGGTGTTTAATTTGAGAAGGCTTCGAGCTAAAATAAAAACTAAAACAACTACAATTAAGGACTTTTTATTTGCTCACGACTCTAAACTCCAGCTCTGAGGCCAGTATGCAGCTCATCATCAATAGATTTTCTGAAGCCTGTACCAGCTTGGGGATAACTATCAACACTGATGAAACTGTTGTTATCTATCAACCGGCTCCCAGAAAAAAGTTACTGTGATCCCAAGTATCAAAGTAAATTATCAATAGCTAAATGTAGTCGATAGAATCACTTACCCTGTCAGTACCCTGCCTCAGAGAGTCAACATCGACGACGAGATCAATGCAAGAATCTCAAAGGCCAGCAGCAGTTTCAGCAGACTTTAAATCAGTCTGCTGAAAAATAAGTGGTATCTCCCTGCTGACCAAGCTAAAGGTTTACAAAGCTGTAATTCTCCCAGTACTGCTCTAAGCTTGCGAAACTTGGACTGTATATCAGCGCCATGCTAAAAAGTTGAATCAGTTTCAAATAACTTGTGTCAGAAAGCTGCTCAAAATCAAATGGCAAGATAGGATCCCAAATGATGTGGTTCTTGATAGGGCAAATCTGCCTATCATTCATACGATAGTAAAGAATTATCAGCTGCGTTAGGCAGGTCATCTAGCCCGCATGCCAGACTATCGTCTCCCAAAGAGAGTATTTTATGGCGAGATCCAGCAAGGAAAGAGGTCCCAGGGAGGACGTAATAGGCACTATACGGACACTCTCAAAACTGCTCTAAATCCTTTTGGCATTAACACAGCAACATAGGAGGCTGCTGCACAGGACCGTACATCCATCAGGCATGGTGCATCGGCCTGCTAAGCAGCGGAGGTTGCACAGGCAGAGAAACAGAGGCAGACTAGAAAGAACCGCTTCGCTAATCCAACACTTACTGCGGCTTTCACCTGTTGTCCGCACAGCTCAAGGACTTTCCAGGCTCAAATTGGACTAATCAGCCAGCTTCGTATTCATAATCATTGATCATTGCTAATTGGATGAAAAGTGGTCTTCATCCCTTGTGATGGACGAACAACACATAATGATACAAGGTCACATGGGGTTAAACTACTGGGGACTATCTCTTCTGTCCTTTTTATGACTCATCTCTTTTGTCAGGACTTCTGTAGTCAGACAGTCTTTGTCCTTTCCTTCCTACCTTATTTATGGGGCTGTCATAAATCTTCAGTCTGAAGTAACCTAATCACAACAGGTAGATAGCGTAAGACTGCTATCGCATACGTTTACTTATATGTGAAGATTCAACGTTACTGCACCTAGAAATAAGTAAATATGTGCGTCGATATCCTCTATGGAGAATTAAAGATGGGTAGAATTTATCGAAGCCAGCCTCTACTACAACATACATCATCAGTTCTCGTTATGCCTAGTGGCACATGAGACTTTCCATGCTTTCCTCTCCTGTGCAATCTTCAATGCAGTTTTCCATGTCAAAGATGCCACACTCAGGTCATTTTCCATCGTTCGTCTCCATGTTGTTTTTGGGCGCCCCTTTTTTCTCTTTCCCTCTGGTATCCACGTGAGAGCTGTTTTGGTAAGTATATCAGGATTCATTCTCATAACGTGGGCAAGCCATTTCCATCTTCTCTTGGCTGTCATACTGTCTAGAGTTTCTTGGTTTGTGACTTGAAGTAGTTTGGTGTTTGAGATTGTATCTGGCCAGAAAATGTTAATAATTCATGTGTGGTGGAAGGTGGACAGCTTGTGTGCATCCTTTTTGGTCATTCTCCAGCATTCTGCTCCATAGAGAAGAACTAGCAAAATGATGCTCTTGTAGAGTCGGAGTTTTGTTCCTCTACGACAAGTCCATAATAACGTCATTTTCCTCATACAGACAGGTGCAAGTGAGGGGGGCACATCAGGAAGGGAATGAGAATGAAGATATTGCAGAAAGTATGAGAGCTGAGCATCTGAGAAGAAGCAGACTAAACACAAATGTTACCAACAACGGTCTTGGAAACCCATGCTGTAATTGTGGCAGACTTTTCTTAAGGTTGGGGGGGGGGGGCGGTCTTGCTAGTCACACTCGCCATTGCCATAGGCTGTGAGTCCGATGCCTCCTCATAGCGCAATATAACACTATTGTCTGGATAGACGGAAAGTGGCCAGTCATTTGCAGCGATAAATAGGTAAACTTAAAATTTTTTTGTGTGTTTATGTAAAAGACCCTTTAAAGCCTAAAGGCACATCGGGCAAATGAGTGGGGTGAATATTTTATTGACCTCAATGGGTGATGTGGTCAACATCGCGCCGGCCGCCTTTTCTTCCCGGGGTTTACCTGGTACCCATTTAAGGTTGGGTCGATCTGGCAGGCCACGTCATTTTTGAGGAAGGAACAAAATTCGGCTTCCTACAGATCTGAACCCACAACTTTCGGAGAAGAGTAGAGAAAAACCTGCAGACCGGGACCACAACAGCCACGGGAAGCTAAGAATTGTAAACTCAGGAGTAATTGCACGCCTTAATGGGAAACGAATTTAAATAAGACAGCAAAGAAAACCCACCCTAATATACAAATGATGTTTGTCCATCACTGGTAATGATGAGCAATCGTTTCATCCATTGGTGACTAAATTAGGTTTTGTGAGTGCGCAGAAAGGTAAGGCCAATTCTAGCACTGAAAGTTCTTAAGCAGTGTGGACAGGGAACTAAAGCCGCATCTCTCTGGTGATTTGCTTCAGTGTCTTTCCTGGCTTGCCTTTTCTGGACTGCTGCTGCAGTTCTAGCAGCTTCATGGACCACAGCTCCTCGATGAAGAGAGGAGCATTAGGACGAGAGGTCACATGCAGCGAATTCCCAGCTTTAAGGATCAATACAGAGGTTTTTCAGTGGGGTCTCGAGGTTGTCCTTGAAACGTTTCTTCAAACGTTTCTTCTGTCAACCTTCAGAGCGTTTTCCTTTTAGTAGCCTACTATAGAAAATTCTTTTTTGGCAGTCGGTGGTCAGGCATGCGGACTAAATGACCTGCCCAGCGAAATTGTGATTGTTTTATAAAGGAGTAAATACTGGACACTTCAGCTCAGTCAAGGACTTCAGTGTCAAGGATCATGTTTTGCCATTTTATTTACATCAACTTTCTGGTGCAAACTGTGCGGAAATAGTCCAGCTTCTTAGCATGGCACCGGTAAACAGCCCATGTTTTACAGCTCTATTCCAGACTTTTGTAAGAAGTCTACCAAATGCGAGGGATTGGAGAGGGGGGGGGGGGGGGGGGGTAGGGGCTAAGTGCGTAAAAATAATAAAAATAGAGGCGTCAAACCAGTTGAACGAGGAGCAAGTTTTAAATTTTTGTTTTCTAAGGAAAGAACAAAGGGCTTTCAGAATCTTGCAATTGAGCGTCTAGCGCAGAGCTATTCAACTGAGTTTACCCAGGGCCCAAAATGATGCAAAATGTCACTGTCACGGACCAGAGGCCTAAGCCCTAGCATAGAAAGATCATTGAATGAATGAGATTCAACCCAACTAGGACATCCACCAAGCGATAAAACACCCGGTGACACAAAGTGCCACAATGCGGATGAGGATCACCCGGGAAGAGGCCCCAGAAACCATTTTCAACCGGTAGTTTCTCTTAGGGACCCATCGACTCCTAACTCCATCAGCTCTCACATGGACACTAGAGGAAAAGAGAAAACAGGGGCACCCAAAAACAACATGAAGACGAACGATGGAAAGTGACCTGAGTGCGGCATCTTTGACATGGAAAACTGCACTGAAGATTGCACAGGACAGGAAAGCATGGAAAGTCCTCCCTGAAGCTTCATGTGCCACTAGACATAACGAGAACTGATGATGATGATTCAGAAATGGAAATTGATCCTAGATTACAAGATAAAGATCTAGGTCAGAGTGGTCAAACCTCTAGCTGTAGCAGCCCGGAGATGGAAAAACAGTGGGAAGATAGTACTGGCGTTGCAGTTAACAGGTGCTTGTTCAAGGTCTATAAGCATAATTGAAACGATTTAGCTAATTTATATGAATAGCCGCCCTTTGGTTTTATAAAAATTGTCACCTAAATCGTCTTAGAACACTTTAGACTACAGTAACTTTAGTAAAGTTTAGTATAGTGCAGTTTAAAGAGATAACACTTATTCTGTAACTTCCAAGGATAATGTATGCTCTTTACTTTACATTGTGCTTTAAGCGATTGTAAGTAAGTTAAGACACATGGTGTCATAGTTGTTAAAATTGTTATCCAGTTTCGTCCTTTTCAGGACGAAATTTTTTGTCATTTGAAGCCCTACTCTGGCTTTTGCCAGGGGCCGCAATATAGGCAGGCCATAAATATAGCCAAATGTCTGAACGCGGTTTCTGGGACCTCTCCACGGCGATCCTCATCCGCGTGGTGGCACTTTGTGTCATCAGGTGTTTATAGCTTGTGTGATGTCCTGGTGGGGTAGAAAGTCAGTCAGTCAGTCAGTTGTTAAAATGAGTTTTTTTTTTTTTTTAAATCATTGTCAGTTCAGAATATAAGGATGCAATTTATTATTTGAAGCCCCACCCTGGCTTTTGCCAGGGGCCGCAATATAGGCAAGCCGTAAATATGGTCAATTGTCTGAACGCGGTTTCTGGGACCTCTCTACGGTAATCCTCATCCACATGGTGGCACTTTGTGTCATCGGGTGTTTATCGCTTGTGTGATGTCCTAGTGGGGTAGAAAGTCAGTTAGTTCAGAACTGAGAATACAAAGTAAAATAAAAACGTGTTAAGTGTTCAATAACATTAACAACATATACTAATACTAATACTAGACTTCTTGTTTAGATACTGAACATTCTTGTTTTCAACATAGGGCACATTTTTTGTGACGTCTTAAGGTTACTTCTTAACCGTCAGAGGCCCTATTATATTATCGTTGGAAAGAACTTTTGGCACTCTTACTTTCCCGGACTGTACCTGGTACCTATTCAAGGCTGGGTCCACCTGGCAGCCAATGTAATTTTTTTTTTTTTAACGGTCCGGCTTCATCAGGACCTGAAATCAGAACCTTCCAAAAGTACCAATGGGTGCCGGTTTGGCAAATCATTAAAAAAAAAGCACTAGGTCATTCATGAAAATGTTGAATGTGAAAGGATAAACTTGACTGCCCTAGGTTTTATCCTGAATTACCGTACCTGTTGAGTGATATTAAGGCGAACCATGATACCAGTAATTAGTAATAATATTATTTGAACAGATTTAGCAGAATGCCACCTGCTGAAAGTGTCACACAAAGTACAGACTCCGCAGCTCTGGTGACGATTTCCAGGGATCTCCTTAAAAATTGTGCTTGCGAACTGAACAGCACCACTGTTCACTATTTTACTAGTTTTTTCTTACAGATTAAGAATATACCCATGTACCATATGCCTATGACAAAGTTGTGGGAAGTTTTAGTATGCTATTTGTTTTTACAGATGACATATACCATATATCTGTGAAAAAGATGTTTAAGTTTCACTAATTTGTTTCTTCTTGTTTCTTACAGATGAAGTGTTCACAAATGAAGCAGACAATGTGAGAATGATGAGCATCTTGAGAACTCTGATTATCTCAATGGCAAACTTTATTATGAAAATTGTTCCCAAAAGTAATGAACCATGCACTATTTTTTTTTCTTATTCTTATTCTTTTTAACAGTACTCTGTATAGTATAAAATGTTATGAGCTACAATTTTTCATCTTTAGATAGCATGTTAGCATTTAACCAGTGCATGATTCTAGGCGGCCTATTTGAACTGGCTTGAAATTAGATGTTAAGTTAAAAACCAGAAACATAGCACTGTGGACATTCCTATAACCGCTCTGACCCTATATTTAGCAGCCAGTGCAGTTCCACTTCGGATGGTACCAGCAGGACTTTGTATGTTTGTCTTGCCTTTGCTTGGCATGTAGTGTGTCGGCCAGATCCCTTGGTTCACTCCCCACTACACCATTCTCTTCAGACAGTGATGATTTGTTTGTACTTCACTCATTCACCCACAAAGAGCCTTGACCATATCTAGTTTGTCATGCATCAGTTTACCACCGGCCAGGTCACAGGGTTAAAAAATGGGTCGTGATATTAATTTTTGCTCAACCTCAGGAAAATGTAACCTAGTTGACTCTCCATTACATTTCATTTTTATTGATTACTCTAATCATTCAGTGTGTAATGTTTTGTTTGTTTATGTCTGAAAATGGAATTTCGCTTAATTTTTTTGTGAACAGTGTAAAATGTTAGTTTTTTTTTTTTAAATAATATTGTTTTGGAATTACCTAAATTTCCAAAATTACTGGTCTCCTAGGCATTTGTTTTTCTACACGCCTAAGGTGAAAAGGGTTAAAAGGCAGTGGGTCTATTCCTGTTTCCTCTAAAATGGAGGCACAAGAATCCTCTAGGGAAGTTTAATATCTAAATGATTCTGTTTAATGTTTTTTAAATACAGTGTTGAACTTGCTGGTGCCACGCAGGTTTCTGGCCTGTGCATTTAGCTCATCTTGTCAGCCTGACCTTGGTGCCATCAGACGGGAGCTAGATAAATTTGAAGGGGGTACAGTCGACTTGAAGATGGATGAGCAGTCAGGAGTAGCAGTAATGACCTTGAATAATCCGCTCAGACTGAATTCTATGACAGGTGAATTTTAATTTGTAATATTAGCATTGTACTAATCTAGTCATATTTACCATCTCCATGGTGTTTCTTGTGCCTTCCATTAGCATAATGAAACACTATCATTTGGAAAGATGGGGAGGTGCCAGTAAACACTAACTTAAAAAGTATGGGAGCCACCATGGTTTAGCAGCTAGATGCTTACCTTCAGATCCGAAGGCCTTGTGTTCAAATGCAAACAGAGCCAGACATTTTTTTTTCAATGATTTTGACTCTCAGGTCAATAAATGGGTACCAGATACAGTCATGGGAAGTAAAGGTGGTTGGTGTGGTTGACCACAATGCCCACCGAGTGCTGATCAATGTTTAAAGTATATATCTAGCCATATATGCCCTGTATGTCTAAAGACGTGCAAGAGTCCTTGACTTACTAATAAGTGTACATCTCAAATTTATGATATGAAAGGCTTTTCCTATGCTTATGTTGTCTGTACATTTTACTTGTCATCATTATTATATTTTTTGCTCTTTCTTGCAACTTGAATGGAGCAGTAATTGGAAACAAGCTAAATACATGTTAACATAGTAAGCTTAAAGGAAAAAAAACCTTCATAAAGAAGAGTGGCGCCTTTGCAATTACAACAAAAAATATCAACGGATATGCCAGTGGCCTTCACTCGAGGATAAGGTGAAACTGTAGACAGTTCAGCCCCCTAGGATTTAGAGGAAGCTGTGTTAGCAGTATAGTCCACTAGGCGTCAGAGTTCCCAAAGTGTATATAAAGCGATTTTCAAGAGATTTGCGAACTCTGTCACTGGAGTGGCTAGATTTAATGGCTGTCACCTCCATGTCGTGGACACCTTGGTATTATCAGATAATTAATGGATTGTCTCATTAACTGCATCGTGACTAGCAAATCTAACTTTTATCTTTGTGGCTAGTGTTCAAAGCATTGAATGTGCAGATTATCTGGCAGATACTATGGTTATAATGATTGGTTGGCATTACATCTGAGTGAGATGGATATTGCAAAAAATGACTATGGTGATAAGCATGACTCCATATCCCTGTCCAGACTTGAGAATATGGGGGTATAATCTCTTTATTTTTATAGACTAATTCGCATTTGGTGGGTGATGCTATTAACATCTTGTCTTCTTTTTCTTCTTCTTCAGCATTCCGAGCCCTTGAAGTTCATTGCTGGAGATATCACCCACCTTCATTCATCTCTCTGGTTGGCCTTCTCTTTCCAGTTGGTAACACCAAGTGTTTGCAGGTCTGTCTGGATATTATCTCTCCATCGTCTTCTTGGTCTTCCTCGTGGTCTACGATCATTCATTGCCCTGGTGTATACAGTTTTTACTTCTCTGTCATCTGACATTCTTTCAATATGCCTCAACCATTTCAGTCTATTAGCTCCCATGGTGCCAGTGATCAGTGGTGATTTAAACAGATTATTAACATTGAGTCGGTCACCTTTATTTCTCTGGATTTTTGATGGTGTGTATTTTAGGCCAGACCAAACTAGGAGCCTAAGTCTCCCGAATATAACTCCCAAAAAATGTAAAGACTGTATCTGCTGCCAATCCAGATTTTCTGTCTTTTTTTTTTCTGTGTGTGGCCCTGTTACTTTCCAAGAACACTAGTAGATTACTGAAATTTATGACTGCATTAACAATCCTTCTTCTCCTCCTCCTTCTTGTTTCATGGTTTCTTGCCTCCGATTTCAACATCTGTTTTCTAGATAAAATATATTGTCTATTGTAGTGTCAGCTGTGTACATCTGAGTTAAATATCTAATGTTTCTAACTTACTTAAAGCCTCTTGGTGGATGAACCAGATCAGAAGAATCCTATCTCACTTCTGCAGTCAAACATACACGGCATGGGCTCACAACTGAAAGTGTCCTGGGCATAGTGCTGTTTTACTTACCCACTAAACTTCATTGTTGAATATATCACAATGTGTAGTGTTACTGTCTTTTTTTCTATAGGCCGAATGATGGTTGATATGGCAGACTGCATTACCCGACTTGAGAACTGGCCCAGTGGTAAAGGGCTCATCCTCACAGGGACTGGAGGCAACTTTTGTTCCGGTGGGGACCTAACTTTTGTTCGAAAGGCTCTGCATTATGGAGCTGAGATGGCAGCTTTTCAACATGATGCCCTGACACGACTTCTCAACCTGCCTTTGATTAGTGTGGCTTTGTTGCAAGGTTGGTAAAGATTATAAGGATAGCCCCATGTTAGATATTGCTGTTCTGAAGGTGGCCATGTTAAATACTGCTGTTGTAAGGATAGTCCCATGTTACATATTGCTGTTCTATAGTAGATGCTGCTGTGGCAAGTATAGTCATATTTTATGCATTGCTGTTCTAGAGATGGCTATGTTAGATGTGGAGGTTCTAGGGATAGTCCCATGTTACACATTGCTGTTCTAGAGATGGCTATGTTAGATGTGGAGGTTCTAGGGATAGTCCCATGTTACACATTGCTGTTCTAGAGATGGCTATGTTAGATGTGGAGGTTCTAGGGATAGTCCCATGTTACACATTGCTGTTCTAGAGATGGCTATGTTAGATGTGGAGGTTCTAGCGATAGTCCCACGTTACACATTGCTGTTCTAGAAATGGCAATGTTAGATATTGCTATTATAGGGATAGTCCCATATCACACACTGCTGTTCTAGAGGTGGCTGTGTTAGGTACTGCTGTTCTAAGGATAGTCCCATATCACACACTGCTGTTCTAGAGGTGGCTGTGTTAGGTACTGCTGTTCTAAGGATAGTCCCATGTCACACAATGCTGGTAGATATTTCTGTTGTAAAGGTAAACTTTTATAAAGTTAACAATGTTAAATGTTGCTGTTGTAAAAGTAGTCTTTTTATGTTAATTTTGTAAGGGTAAGAGGGGGCTGCGTGGTCTCGAGGCATGGTGTCATCGCTACGTCATCGCTAATATTGAGCTTTGGGAAAGAACTAAACACATTCCAGTGAATCAAGACGCGAGGATAAGACTCTGAGGCATGGTGTCTGCCTCGAGTGCTAGAGGTTCCGGGTTCAATCCCTGGTAAGGACTGGGATATTTTCACGTGGACTTGGACTACTAGTAATTCCCCCTGGTCTCTAGATAGTGAGATCAGACGCCCGTGTGCATTGTTGGCAGTTAGAAATCGAAAAGAGTAGCCTAACGGCACTGCCCGGGCAAAATTTGTGGCACTGTGATTTCGGTCACAGATGTAAGGGAAAGTTAAGTCTGATGTGATGTGTATAGGGAGACACTTTGTACCTCACTCGGGTGCCAGCCCTTCACTGTTCTGGTTTTACAGAACCTCATGCAAGACTCATGTTGCACGTTCCCGTCGTGCACCACGGATAATATCTCAAATGAGCATTAACAGAGTTGGCAGGGGATCTCGGAGCTGGCGGCCTCCAGAGGTGTAGTGTCCTTTCTGGCTCTCATCAGTCCGCACCTAAACGCTTAGGTGAAAAAGTTTATCAAAACTAATCTGGAACATGAGTAAAGTCTACTTGCCAAATGTGCCACTAAATAACAATGCTCGATTAAAAGTCTGTGGAGTAAAAGGAAAACTGCGCTGCTGAAACTTAACCCCTGACCAAGAGATTTACCTGCAGCCTAGACGAGTAACATCTCCTGTTGGTGGTTTCTCACAGTAAATTCTACCTTTGTATATCCTCTGTCAACCCTCAACATCGTCGTCACCGCGCTGAGATACACCACAAAAGCAACTGTTCATCTGCTGGCTAGGCCCTAATGTCCGACAAAGATAAATTCTATGGGACATGAGCAAATCTCAATGTCCGACCATTATAAATCTTACTGTTTAGCAAAAAAGTTGAAATGTTCTATCCACTGGCCCCATTCACCCAAGTGATGGGACTAAACAGTTGAAGCCATGCCTTACACATGCTTCTCCACACTGTCGTGCTAAGTACACAGTTGAAACAATGTTAAAGATGTCTAACGTGCTATGAAGAAGAATGTACCTATTTGTGTGGTCACAAAAGTCCTGGACCTACGGGCTGCTCCCCACTGATCTCCGGAGGGCCCAGCCCGTGGCGAGTGGGAAGCTCGATATATGGTTGTGAGCTTAAGCAGTCATGTGGAGGAGTTGACGATTCCTTGGGTGAGCCCTGAACCAGAGCGTCATGAGTGGGCTCTGCATTTATGGAAGTCTCCTTGGGTAACGGTGAATGCCCATGATCTGCCCCTGCCTTTCCTTTGGGGCTAACCATCCTATAAAGGGTTGTCCTAAAGGGGGTTCTGCAGGGGCAACACCTGTAGATAAAGGGATAAAGAGGACACCACACAGATAAGCAACATCTCGTCCCACAAAACAATGACCACAGTCATCCTAAAGATAGGCTTGACGTCTTCCCTCAAAATCGGAGTACATCTGCAAAAGAGGAAGGGGAAGAGAACTGCATACAAATAAGCCAGTAAAACAGATGTACACGCAAAACTCAGGTCCAGATAAAAGCCAAAAGTCCAAATGGACGAACAACCAGGACTTTCAGCTGGTGAACAAGAAAAAGAAGATACTGCAGCAGTAAAAGTAGTCCCATGTTTCATACTGCTGCTGAGGTTACATTTAGCTGTTTACTGTGTCATAGTAATCAAACGTTACTGGTTACATTTAGATGTTTCCTGTGTTTTAATAAACACAAGTTACTGAACCCGTCACATTCAAACGTTTACTAGGTATAGTAAACGCAGGTTTCTAAACTCGTCACATTCAGCTGTTTACTAGTTATAGAAGCACAAGTGACTAGACTAACCATTTACTAGTTGTAATAAGCACAGTTTACTAGACTCGTCACATTTAACCGTTTACTAGTTATGGTAAGCACAAATTATTGAACTGATCATATTGAGCTGTTATTGTAATGAGCACATGTACCATTCATCCGTCTCTGTTCTCTGCAGGCCACACTTTGGGAGGTGGAGCTGAACTAGCCACAGCCTGTGACTACAGAGTGATCTCACCGTCTGCTAAAGTTGGCTTCGTCCAAATCAAGATGGGGCTGACAACCGGCTGGGGCGCAACAACAAGATTAGTCCACCTGTTGGGAAGACAGAAAGCAATCAGTTTGTTAACTTCAGGTAAAGTTATGGCAGCGGAGGAAGCTCTCAATGAAGGATTGGTTGACCATGTCCTGCCTTACTCGCTAGCTTCAAGTGATGAACTGGGTGAATGTAAAAAGTGGCTTATAGCTAATTATTGCAAGCATGATGCAGATTTAATTCAGGCAACAAAAAAGTCGGTAATATATGCGGATTTAAACAGAGACATTAAGGTTTCCCTGCAGCATGAGCGTGATGTTTTTGCTAAGTACTGGGGAGGGCCAGCTCAGAAAGCCGCTCTCAGTGCGAATATAAAGCATAAATAGTGAAATATTCACACAGTAGCAAGCACTGAAAATGAAAAATTTAGCTGCTACGTCATCGCTAATATTGAGCTTTGGGAAAGAACTAAACACATTCCAGTGAATCAAGACGCGAGGATAAGACTCTGACATTGGATAGGGCACATGCTGAGGAAACCTGGCAACTGTGTTGCTTTGCTTGCACTGAACTCACACTGCCAAAGGAGTAAAGGCAGATCCAAAAAAATATAAATAAAAACATGGAGAAGAGAATTTCAGAATGCGATGAAACAGATGGGGAGGTCATGGGGTGAGCTTATTGCAGTGGCAAATGATAAAACGACTTGGCTTGAGTTGGTTGGGGGCCTATGCACCATTGAAGGATACCAGGCAAAAAAAAGAATTATTTAAAAATTCTAGAGTTTGTTTTATATTCTGTGTATATTATGTTTACTTGTATGCTGTGTTACCAGTAATATTTTTTGTACAGTTAATATTCAGTTATATTAAACTGTTGTTTTTCCTTGTGTGTTCCTTTTTAAGAAGACGTTCGTGTATGTGGGAAAAATAAGTATTTAAAAAAGTAACAACCCCTTTTACAATATTGGTACATCTGGCATATGATGTTGTCTGCATCACTGTAATGGCCGAGTCAGCTCTAAATGGGTGGTAGGTCAACATCACTCCAGCTGATTTGATTTCCAAAGACATTTCCTAGTACCCATTTTAGACTGGGTGGACTTGAGAGTCCTAGTTCAAGTACTGCCTTGATGTAGATTTGAATCCAAGATTTTTGTTGCAGCATGCAAGCATCCAGCCATAGAGTTACAATGGCTTCAAATAAGAAGAATGTAAGAGTTTAATACTACAATTTTCTAGCTGTTATGTATTATCACCATCAGATATGTTTGTCTGTGACTGAAATTTATGTCTCTGAACTGGTCTTTTAGCTGTCTTATAATTTATATCCAGGGCATCTGGCACAACTGTCTTTAATGTCATATCTATTTGCACTGAATATTCTGTGCCTGCATGTTTTATGAATTGTTCCTCTTTATGTTGCTCTTTTTCTCATTACCTTTTATTTTTTTATTTGTTTATTATGTGTCGCTGCAGCGTGTTGTTGTCTAACATGGGGCTATCCTTATAAAAGCAATATCTAACATAGGGCTATCCTTATAAAAGCAATATCTAACATGGGACTATCCTTATAAAAGCAATATCTAACAGGTGGCTATCCTTAAAACAGTAATATCTAACATGGGGCTATCCTTATCAAAGCAATATCTAACATAGCGCTATCCTTATAAAAGCAATATCTAACATGGGGCTATCCTTATCAAAGCAATATCTAACTTGGGGCTATCCTTATCAAAGCAATATCTAACATGGGGCTATCCTTATCAAAGCAATATCTAACATGGGGCTATCCTTATCAAAGCAATATCTAACATGGGGCTATCCTTAAAACAGTGATATCTAACATGGGGCTATCCTTATAATATAAATATCAAACATAGGGCTATCATTGTATTACAGTAATATCTAATACAAGGTTATGGTTGCATAATCTTTACCAACCTTGCAACAAAGCCACACTAATCTTAGGCAGGCTGAAAAGTCATCTCAGGGCATCATGTTGAAAAGCTGCCATCTCAGCTCCATAATGCAAAGCTTTTCGAACAAAAGTAAGTTCCCTACCAGAACAAAAGTTGCCTCCAGTCTCTGTGAGGATGAGCCCTTTACCACTGGGCCAGTTCTTAAGTCGAGTAATGCAATCTGCTATATCAACCATCACTCGACATTCAGAATGCCATGTGCTTCTGCGGGTGCAATGGCAGCTTACTGATCGCTTGCACCAACAGTGAGCTTCAAATCTGGTGTGGGACCATTAATGCTGGCATATCTGAGAGCTGCCTAATGCATTTTTTACTTTGCATGTGCAAGCTTTAAGATTTTGCTTGGACTGACAGCATTTTCACTAGTTTTTTGCTCTTCTCATTGTGTTAACTTCTTACCTCAAATACCTCGTTTTACAAGTCATTTGTTTCCCCCTTGTTAGTTATCTGCTCTTGTTCTTGGTTTGGCATTCTTAACAAACACAATGTTGGTCGCCCTCTCACAGAAGTTTTATAAATATTCAAATACATCAGGATTATTCAACAAAGTTTACCCTGGGGCCAAAATACTGAAAATGAGGATCGTTACGGGCCAGAGGTCATAGCCCCGGAATAGAAAGATCATTTATACGTGATACAACTGGCAATGATCCAAGGTCCTCTGCAGGCCAGATCTGGCCCATAAGGCACCAGTTGAAAAGCCCTGAAATCGCGTGTCTCCTGTAAGTATTTTTCATGGCGGTATTTAGGTTGTGGGAGTTCCCGTGGCGGAGCGGCTAGATGCTCGCCGCGGATCGGAAGGTCGTGGGTTCGCTTCCCGGCGGAGCCGGGCTTTTTTCAAAAATGACCTTGGTTTTCAGGTCGACCCAGCCTTAAGTGGGTACCGGGTGCAGTCCCGGGAAGTAGAGGCGGCCGGCGTGATGTTGACCACATCACCCATCATTTACGTTGTGAACACTTTTGCTTTTTCTGCCCGTCTTAACAGCGTATACGAAAGTACTTAAACTGATTTGTTGTCTTCCACTTAAAAAAAATGGCGGGGGATACTGGATTCTGGTTGTTTTATATTTTTACATACCGAGTTTCTAGCTTCCTGATTCTCCTCCAGTCTGTCTCCCCCCCCCCCCCCCCCCCCCTTTTCCTTCTCCAATTTTCTCCAAAACCTATGAGTTTCCTTTTATCCCTTTTTTTCCTATTTATGATTTATAATTGTGTTTTTAATAATTTTATTGTGGTTCATTTTACGTTTTCAGGCCCAGAAAGAGAGTGACTTCCCTTGTTAAAAAGTTTTTTTTTTTTTAAACCTCGAGTTTATGGCTTCTGGGCTTTTAAAATTATTAGGTTCTTTTCTGTTATGCGACCACATCATATGGTAGGGAAATCCTATAGTATAGGGGAGTTAGTGTTAAATGAATAGCGACTACTACTAATCTACCTTCCCCCCCCCCCCCCCCCATACTATGGGATTGCCCTAAATCTCGCGTGATGTTTTCGCTTAATAGAAAACAAACAATTATTTTCCACTTCACATTCAGTAATTACATTTGGATAATTTTCTTTTTTGTTCTTGATAAGAAGAGGCATACAATATTCACCAGAACTAATTAAATATATTAGAAAATGCAGAGACGCAAAATATTTACAAATTCACGAGAAAAAAAAAACACAACTTAAATGTTTTTGTAATTACCATTAATATTCAATGCGGTGACATTAAAGCAATTATTAAAAAAAAAAAATATCCAGTAGCGTTTAACTGTGAAACGCAAGTTTTATTTCAAAGAATAAAAAAGGCTAGTTTAAAAAAAATGATAAATGGATTTCATGTAATCCACGCAGTACAGACTATCATAATTATCCTACACTGTTATATGTCACATAAGACTTGCAGTCTATACCTCCAGTTTGTTCTATCCTGTGCTGTTATATGTCTCATAAGACTTGCAGTCTATACCTCCAGTTTGTTATATCCTGTGCTGTTATATGTCACATACGACTTGCAGTCTATACCTCCAGTTTGTTATATCCTGTGCTGTTATATGTCACATGAGACTTGCAGTCTATACCTCCAGTTTTGTTCTATCCTGTGCAATTATATGTCACATAAGACTTGCAGTCTATACCTCTAATTTGTTCTATCCTGTGATGTTATATGTCACATAAGACTTGCAGTCTATACCTTCAGTTTGTTCTATCCTGTGCAATTAGTTTGATATCATGGGTGCAAAACAAATAAATAACTGACCCGGGGGAGGGGGGGAGGGGGGGGGGGGGGGGGGGGAGGGGGGAGGGCTTGCGATGGGTTGCTTTATGCACGTAATTATTGTTTATGAGCGTAACAATAATGTAAAGCAAAAGTAAAGGACTCTTGTCACCCAAGTAGTGCATGGTGCATTTGATACTAGAGACCTATTTTTATAGTATATCAGATCACCATTCTTCCCAGACTGTGATGGTCTGTTTGTGCCTCTGCACCGTGTACTCAGAGGTCCCAGAGGACCCTTACAACGTATAACTTGTCCTGCATCAGTTCACTGCCAAGTGGTGCAGAACCAGCCGGTCTATCAGCCTGTTCCATTCCCAACACACTGGTAGGGAAAAAATATCCAAAGAACTCAGGACCTGTTGGCGATGCTTGCCACTCTGCCTGAAGCAGATGCATCCGCCTTTCTCACAATGCTGTCTGGGGGGTCATTGTTCATTATTCATTTATATATCATTTTCATTGCACATAGGACATGACCATAAGTGCTCGGATCTCCTATTGAGTATGTCTCCAAATGTTTTTAGGCTAACAACTTCAATTCTGTTCTGGCTGATGTAACGACGGGCTGCTTCCGTATGTCTTTCCTTTCTTGCTGATCCAATTGGTACACTCATGGTGTGTAGTCTATAAGGTGAAAAATCATTTTCCACGAAGATGAAAGCCTCACAGCGTTTAGTCTCTCGTATGGCCTTGATTATGTCCCTCCTTTCCATAGATGGCCCATGCCTGATAGTTGCACTGCCAGCCAGGGCATCTGCTCTGTCATTGCCTTTTGCACCAGCATGCCCTGGGACAAAAAACGAAAGTGATTTTGCGAAACACTACATACCGTATCAGATAAAGCCACTGTTTTCTATAGGTTAGTTACAATAAAACTTTTAAAATAAAACGACATAGCCTTCCAAACTTAAAATGGATACCAGGAAAATATCTAGGAAATGAAGGCAGTAGGCCTTTATTCCACAACTTGATGAAATTCACTCTACCCCAGTGACGACTTTATTTCACATTCCCTGATTGTTGTCATTTCAAGTTCACTCTATTTAGTTGATGACATCTTAATCTTCCACTTTTTGTTACTCCGGCTGACGCTGACGAAAACTTGTTTCTCCAACGCCATCACAGTTGTCACTTCTCTC